GAAGTAGGTTACGTGTCATGAAATAAACCCTATAAATCTATTTTTAGAGGCATGAGAATAAGAGGGTTTATATATATATATATATATATATATATATATATATATATATATATATATATATATATATATATATATATATATAGATGGGGACCCCGCGTTGCACGGGATGGATTTAGGCAACATCGATCATTTTGTGTTTTCATGTCCATTTCATTGCTCTTGTGTTCAACTATAGTTCATTGCCTTAACTGGTATTCATCGTAAATTATGTTGCTATTTTCTGCAATTCGCCCGATTATGTAAGGACGTACAAAATAGAACAAAACTTTATGAATCCCAAAAGTGTTACGTTGGAGAATATAAATAAAGATTGTAATTTGGAGCGAATATAAAGAGTGTGACATAATAGTTTTTACTGACCACACATCAAAATCAAGTTAAATCCACTTACTCATCTAATATTACAAACACACAAAGCAAGCAAAATAGGTTAAATGTCATGTTTTTACATCTTTTTATAGGTGTTCAAATATTGTATCCAAAAAGAGTAGAATAAGATGTATACAACTACCAAAAGAAAAAAAAGACAAATATACTCTTATTATCATCAAATTTTAGGCGAGTCTCAATAATCTTAACAACTCCATTTCTTAATCCACAAAAAACATTATAGCTTTCTCAGTTCTGTTCTGATCAAATGCTCTAGAAGGATGGGTTCAAAGCTGAAAAAAAATACACATTAAAATGAATTTAATACAACAATATGCAAACAAATTGAGTCAGAATAACATTGTTCTCTTACCAACAAATGTGCTATGAAAATTATTGGAATTTATGTGCTCCATTGTTGGATCATTCGGGTTGAGCAACATGAATATAAGTTCTCTTTCAGATGCAAGGGCCTGAACTTAACAGAAACAAAAAAGTAGTAAATGACCATTTTAACATTCTGTTTGTTTATATTGAAGACTAATATCATACCTGATGCACTTCAAAATATATTTTTTGTGTTAGGATTCAATAAAAATTCATCTATCATATTCTCAATTCAGATCATCAAGTACTTCCAAATGAACCAATTGGTATTCAAAAGTACATAATGTAATTTGTCCCATTGTGGTTTGGATTTTCTTACCATGAAATTTTGTAATTCTCATTTTGTTCGTCCTCTGCATTTAAACATCCTCAATCTACTTCAATATTAATTCAAGCAATTGTCTTTGTTGTTGTATAAACATGTTTACAGAGTTTTTATTTGACACAATTCGTATGGGTTATCTGTTAATAATGTATGAACCTGAAATATTATTACAAACTTCAGAGTAATAAAAAAATATAGTTAACAACAATATATCAATAATATCACTTAAAGATATTATTATCGACTTCAGAACATATATAATCCCGAAGTGTAAATTACATTTTGGGTCAATTAGGCCTGATTTTGGTCAGGTTCTTCAATATTGTTCCTTATTTCAGTTCCCTTAATGATTTTCGTCCTCCTTCCATGAAAAATGATTATATTTACCTTTTTTTATTTTTACTTTTTATAGAAATTTGTTATTTAGTATAACTTTGAATTCACAAAATTAGATTAAATCACAAATATTTATTTAAGAGTAAAAAAATACAACTATAGTCATTTATTTGGTACGGGGATCAAAATCGATACGACACTTCAAAAAAATGACAAAAACTACAATTGAATTTTTACAACAAAAATTATAAAAATCAGGTATACAAAAGGACCAAATCAAGCACCAAAACGTTGTTGTCCTTTTGTGCCCCAAAACTAAGTTTGAACTTTAAAACAAATTTAAATATGTTTAGTTTCAAAAAAGCATATTAATAAATACATAACACATGATCTCAAATTCTACAAACTGAAATTTGTTGGTGTTTAATTCAGTAAAAAATACATATGGTTAATCTCAAATGCAATAGGTTTAACCTCAAAAGGACGATTTACAAATCTTAGGCACATCAAAAACTTGCTTGAATCACCACCAATGTAAATACTAATTTATCATGTGTCATATGCTAAAATTGAATGACTTAATACAAAAATGTAATCAACAATTAGTGAAATAGAATCAATTGATCCCAAACTTTCAGAGAAAACAGACTCAATTAATCCACAACTTCAAGAGCAAGTAAAGTAACATATAGTTTCGTTACAAATTTTGACAGATATGTGCCAAAAGGGTTTAGGCTTTAAAAACCAAATAAATATATAAAGAAAGTTGACCATATTGTACCTTTATTAGCCAACTGTTACCTGCAAAATTGTAGAGCTACCATAACTGTTGTGTCATGACCATGTCGGCAGACAGATATCTGGTCAACAAAATGAAAGAAAAAACAAAAATAAATTCATTGACATTCTATTAATCAGATAATTGGCAAAAGAAAACCTATCTTTCCTCATTTACTCACCAAGAATGAACATTTTTTTTTCAAATTTACTTATAAACTCCATAGTAAACATAAGGGTAATACGGTCATTTATTCCAAACAAACATTATTTATCCACTCAACAAAAAAAAAAAAAAAACATTTTCAGGAAAATAGTTGCGTACTTGGAGGCGAGTTGCTAAATTTTCCCTAGTAATTCCATCCAAATATCATCAAATCAAGAATCCGTTTAGACAAAGCTTCTGCATTTAACAGAAGCAACAAACTTTCTATGAAAGATCAATTGACCAAAAAACATGAGGCTTCTTTTGGGGGATAAAATGTAATTAGAAATATAATCATAAATTTATAAACATGATTTATTACAAATGCAAAGAACAGTTAAAAGAAAAGAAGCTCACATAAATCAACTCTTTGCGAGCACCCTGTAATTAATCATTGCTTGATCTTTCTTTGATTATCAATGCTTGATTAAGGCATTAAGCGCTTCCAAATCTTGAAGTTCCTCTTCTTTTTCTTTCAGATCTTTTTCAGTGTACTAACCACGGTGGAAGTAAGTAACCCAAGCTACCCTGGTCAGGTACTGTAGCTAAGAATGAAGAAATTTAATATATATTGATTCTATTCATAACACTAATGACAAAATTACCCTTCCAAAACCTCAATGCTCTTTATTTTACCAGAATTTCCCTTAGTACAAAAAAATGTGAAGATTTAGAAAACTAATATTCCATCTTTGATGTTACCAAAATCATATAAATGGAAGTATGTTGCTATTGATTTCCACTCATCTTTTTAATGTAGTTTGTAACCTTGTTGTTTTTATAATCTCTTTTGAACCTACAATTCAGAAACAATGATGATAAGGAAGAAGATAAGTTGCAAAAGAAAAGTATTTAGACTGAATTCACACTAACGGTATTTTAGACATTTTACAAAGACTCCAACACTTATCCGGACAAAATCTGGGATGCGAACAAATTAAAGTACAATGATAAATACAATACAAATCCAAGATTTATAGAGCTTCACATGTGAACTACATTGTTAGTCATTGAGGAAAATCATTTAAAAGATGCAACGTTTTGGTCACAAACTGAAGACAAAATGGACACTTGTAAAAGCAATCATTCACTTTGTCATAGTATATTGTGAGTAAATCGAATCAAATTAATACAAATTAAAAGAATCTTCACGACTCATATGTATATATGTATAAAATACAAAAGGAAACAATTAGGCTTCGAAAGAATGTTGGCCATTCATATTAATAAACTAAAAAAAAAAAAAAACAATTTGGCTCGAAATCTGAGACTAAATTTTATGTTCCAAAAACATCAAATATTGATGTGTAATGTTTATTGCAAAAGAAGGTACACTGATATGAGCCGTTAAGATATATGTCAAAATTTAATAGATGGCTCAGATTTTTCACACATGGACCAGATTAACTTCCCATATGAACCCATATACTATATGTTAAAATCTTTGTTCCAATTGATCCATGCATTGCATTAAAGAATGTTACCAAATGTTCATGTAGTGTCACCAATCTTGAAAGATCTAGCTTAAATACTACCAACAGTTGCTGGCCAAATACCAACCTGCAAAATGTTGAAATTGAAAAATTAGATTGTGAGCTATCTATAGAAAAGTTGTGAATTAGAGCAATTGCAATTCACAATATTCCAACTCCATTGAACAATATTGTGTCCTGAAAAACCATCCATATCTTTCTATATAAACTGGTATGACACAAACATGCTTAAGTAAATAAAACATCAAACACGAATATGAAATTGTAAAGAATTCGTGAACTTAAAGTTAAAGTCAATACAATTTTAGACATGCTTTACCTGAGATGATTGTGAATAGTGAAGGAGATTGAAATCTTCACCTGGAAAACATCATTGATATGGAAATTATTCAACTACAAGAAACTAATTCAATTCAGCAAAAGGGGACAAAAGGGTAAGATTGGAATTGTTAAAATGTACATGACAACCTGTATAAGAATCACAACGTAACTCCATTTTTTCACCACATATTAACCTATGAAAACTGTAACAAAAGTATATATGCAGGTTAGTTGCTTGATAAGGGTAAAAAGGGAAAAAGAGAGGCAAATGATTGTGATTGTACCTTATTAATCCTTGTTTCCATAGCATCCAAGGAGGGCACTATGGAAATTTTCCCAAAGTAATGAAAAATTGTTACTGAATGGAAAACGATTGACTTACCAAAGCTCAATTTGATATGTGTTGAACACCCAAACTCAATTCAACTGGTGAAATTGAAACAATTTTTTTGTGAAATTGAAAACGAAACGTGAAATCGGAGATGAATGGTTTCCCATCTGAATGCTTATTGCATTTAATACATCAGCAATAAGCAAGATGTCAGCAGAAAACAAAAAACAAAAGACATACTTGCGGTGGAGATGGGCGGAGATGGAGATGGGGACGGTCGCCACTGGGGAAAAAAATCAGTTGGTCTGCCGCCTTTCTTGCAAGACTGATGGTTTTCTCCTCCATCGGATTGTCGCGAGAAGGGTGAAGTGGAAGTAGTCGGTGGCACATCCATCATCAGGAAAGCTTCAGATACAATCGACAACAACTGCTGAAAGATCGGTGGAGACGTATATCTATGCAGACATCGGTGGAGAAGGAGCAGATCGGGTGTTCATAAGGGTAAGGAAGCGGTGAAGGGAAAAGAACGAAAAAGAAAGCAGAGTCGGTGAGAGTGATGGTGAGAAGCGGTTGAGGTGTCGATGTTTACCTCTAAAGGCGTGAATGGTGATTTTTAGGGCTAGAAGTCATTGCAGACACAATTTCGATCGGTTTTATCCGATCGGTCCAAATATGTAAGTGACCGGCGTTGGGTCCTTATTCTACACCTTCGACATCCTAATTCCTTGTACTATCGCCATCGATTCATCACACACACACATAAAGAAACGTACGTACGTAGCCTGATGGACCGTTGATGTTCTTTGTAGCCGGTCGGTTGTATGAAATCGACGGTGATTAGGTGGAGAAGATTAGGCGGTGAGAAGCAAGAAGAAAGTGAAGCCCATGTGAATGAAAGGATATTTATCAAGAGACAGAGAAGATGAAGACGGGGAACAGACGGTGCTGGTATACAGGCAGTGCAGCGGAAGAGATGTTGTGGAGATGTTGGAAGAGGTTGATTGGAAGAAGTCGATGAAGCTAATGTGAGAAGATGATCAGTCTGTTTGAGTCGGTTATTAAGAGAAGAAAGCGAAATAAACAAATGGAGGAGGATCGGTGAAAGAAAGAGAAAAGAAAACGGATAACCAAATAGAGTAATAGAAATCAAGTCCTTATTGGTCGATAAAAACGGTGAAAGAAAGAGAAATCAACACGTGGAAAAATAGAAAATTACAAAATATACCCTTTAAAATAAACAGATCAGTATTTTAGAAACAGACAAAGACTGAGGACCAAATCTACCAAAATCTTTGCTTACTATAGCTAAGCAAAAGGGAATTTTAATCTATAGTCTAATATATATATATATATATATATATATATATATATATATATATATATATATATATATATATATATATATATATATAATAATTAGAAACTAGTGTATTAACCCGTGGTGAACCACGGGTCACGTTATTGTCGGATGTTTGGTAGTAGTAATAGAGCACTATTGGGTGTTGATGACGAAAATTGAAATTCTAACTTTGGACGAGAAATGAGTTAAAAGACATTAGTCAAAATATAGATAGGTGAATATTTATGGTGAAATTTTAGTAGTCATGAAGTTTAATATTGTTAGTTGTGTTGGTTATGATAGATGTATATAGTTGAAGAAAAAAACGTTACCCATACAAATGTTTAAATCTCGAAATAACTTGTTTATGACTTGAAATATTGAATGGATTCAAAATCGAATGATGTCGTAAAGTATTGCTTTTGCATCGTATAACAAACTTCTATGTTGTACAACATGAACAAAAATGGTTGAATAGATAACAACACTTATCACACGGACAACTATAAACATAACAATAAACACTAAAAACCACAAATTGAAAAGATAATGTCATTAGATATCAAACAAATCTATAGAAACAATTATTGTCAGAATATGACATAGTTTTATTGAATATTTACCGATTATTGTATATAAACATAATGTGTGGATTGTAGTTTATAATATGGACATAAAGCTATAAAAAGAGAGTTTAGGTTTACTCTAAGTATGTTATGATAAGATCAAATAGTTTCATTGCTTTTTGGCATGTGTTCCTTCATCTACTCCGTCGTGGTTTCTGTATTTTTCTCGTTTTGGATGTGGTTTTTTTGGTGTATCTGTCAAATGTAAGATGTTCATTACATGTATGAATAAAATAAATTGCTATAAGTATTTTTACATGTATCTTCCATTTGGAGGTGTTTTCCAGTTTCACGTGATTTAGTAGGGGTGAGGGACTCCATAGTTGTTGTGGTTTGTTGTTCCATTGGTGTTGAACGTGTAGTTTGTGTTTTTTGTGTTGATAATATTGTTGGTTGTGGTGTTTTTATGTCTTTGATTGTGGTGACTATGAAACGGATATTTTTGATGGAAGAAAGTTTTGTGCATTCTACATAGACATTCTTTGTCAACCCTTTACAACGTTCGAGTGGTTTAGGTAAAGTTTTTCTATCTTGACTGGGAAAGCCGTCTATGATTTCTTGTGCAGTTGCATTTAGCAGACTAACGGTTGCTTCATTAGACATGAAAATTGTTGTGGTATCTGTATTGTCTGTGAGTACTGCTGAGATTTTATATCTGTGGAAAGAGAAGTAATTTTAAGTGCGATTTATATATATATATATATATATATATATATATATATATATATATATATATATATATATATATGGTAAACATGAGAGGGAGTATTTACAAAAGTTTTGGTTCATTTATGGGCCCATTGGAAACACAAAACCCTCCATCACCTTTTTTGTGTGTTGATTTACCACATGTGGTACATGTAACGTGGTACCATTCATCTTTGAATGTGAAATCAGATAGTATGGTCTTTATAACATATACATTGTCCTTGAACATGTTATAGATGTATGTTAGTGATTGTTATGTATGAAATAGTAGTATTATACATAAGAAAACGAATTACCATTATTTGAGAGAAATCTGAGCTCTTTAATCGTTGTAATGTAGTATTTATCACATTTGGTGATGATTTTGAGTGAAATTGGGTACCAAATCTGTATTAATGGATACTTGTTAGTGATTATATGTTGTTTACTATGTAGTTTATAGTTTGGTTAAGTATGGTTAAGATTTGGTAGAAGCAGTATAACATACCTTGTAATGAGTGTGTCCGTTTCTGGTAAATTGGGATTGACGTACATGTGTGTTGCGCTGCTGCTTGTCAATGTTAATTGTCCTGTGTAGTAAGATGGTATTTTAGCATAGTGTGAAGTGAGTATTATAATAAGGGTCTTTGTTATTACTTACCATTGTACATAGTGGATTTGAGATTGGTGAAAGCGAGTACCACTGTGTTAGAGTTTGATGTAAGGGCATTTCGATTGAATTTGTCTGGCGAATCTATGCATTCCTTCCATAAGAGTATGGTAATCTCCTCCACACTTGAACCAGTTTTGTCATTAATAATAATTAAAGGAAATATCTAGGTAATATTTTTTTATGAAGAATATGTACTTACTTTTCATCTGTTAAAGTCATAAGCATGAATGGTTCCTTGTCTTTTTTTTTTTTTCGATCTTTCATGTTGATGAGTACCCCTATGAAATCTGAATGTAATTGTAAGCATAATATTAGTGACAAATTAGACTATTACAAATTTTTTGCATTAAAGTAATGATATTTGGGTTGATGTTATAAATGTACCTAGATGCTCTAAGTTTTTGTCTGCTATCATTTGAAAGTGTGATCTTGGACTAAAGCGAAACCATGTTAGTGGAAGTGTATTGCGATTTGGTATTTCCTCAATTGTTGATGCTTCACCAATATTCATGTGTACTGGGTGATCTAAGACCTTCTGATATTTGTCTGGCTCAGTGCATGTATAGTCCTTAATACGATAACATCGAGTGACTAATAATGAAGTTTGTATCGATCCTTGATTTGTCTTTCGAGCAAGTAGCTGAATTGTATCTCCCTGGTCAAATAAATGTGTTAGGGTGTTTTATATATGAATTACTTTTTTATAAGAGTGAATTATATATATAAATATATATATCCTTACATGCTCATCAATCACGATAAACCATGTCTCATCCTTTCTGAATTGTAGTGTCCATTTTCGTAAGACACGGACTTCAAGTGAATTTCCTGGTGAGCCAAAGTGGAGGTTTGATATTCTTTCCATATTTGAGGAGATTGCTCTGCAATTATAAAAAAAACATTGTTAAAATAGTTTTAAAAATATGATCATTATTTCATACCATATATTTTAGGTATTAGATGTTTATAATAAGTATAAGAGTAAATTACTGAAATTGTCCCTATGGTTTGGTTAAAATTGCACGTTTGGTCTCTAACATTTTTTTTCACATAAATCGTCCCTGTGGTTTTATTTGTCACGTTTTTGTCCATGTGGTTTGATTTTGTTGCATTTTTCATCCGTTACATACATAAAGTTAGGGACCAAACATGAATTTTTTACCAAACCTTAGGGACGAAAAACGCGACAAAATCAAACCACAAAACGATCCGATTGCAAATAAAAAGTTAAGGACTAAACGTGCAATTTTGACCAAACCACAGGGATGATTTTAGTTATTTACTCTAAGTATAATTGCAAAACTGGTAGAAAAGATGGGATTTTGGGTAATAGAATTATCTTAGCTATTAGACTGATTTGAAAACATAAATGTGGTGTAATAACCTCTTGCATATTAACTCTTGCTAACAAATCTTTGAAGACGACATTTCTGGTACAATTGAATGGTAATGTATCTTCTTGTTGTAGTAGAATCTTTATCGAATCTGGTGAGGTAGCTCTTGACAAAGCCGCATATAGTTGTCCGTGTGTGAAAACAGAGTTTTTGAGGTATAAACCTACCTTTTTAAGAGATTGGCCTTGACTTTTGTTTATAGTCATTGCATAACACACTTTAAGAGGAAATTGTTTTCTGATAAATATAAAAGGTAGGTCAGAGGTATTATGTACAAATTTTATTCTTGGAATGTACACCCTTTTCCCAATAGATATTCCTGTTATTATGGAAGCTTCAATCACAGATGGTAATAATTGTGTAACAATCAAACGTGTTCCATTACAAAGACCTTCTCGTTGATTGATATTCCTCATTAGCATAACTGGGGTATTAACTTTCAAATTTAATGTATGTGAAGGAATACCAGAAAAGTGCAGATTGTTTAAATAATCTTGGGGATATAAGGTATCTAATTCTAAGCTATCATGAGTTTGTGACTTAATAGAATCACAGCTGTTGTATACTATCCCTTGACTATTAGTTTTTGAAAGAATTAAAGCATTGACTTGATCAGCTGTTTCATTTTTGGACAAATAATGGCTCTAACAGATAACTCTTCAGGTGATGGATTGGAAATTATATCTTTGCCATATACAAAATGTATTAGTGATTCTAATTCGTTGTCTCCTGATTCGATAAGGAAACAATGAGGTATTTGTATAACGTTTGTGCTTTCTAGATCATTCTTGTCTGGTGTTCCGATATTTCCATTTCCAATATCGAGAAGCCAAGTAGTGTTTTTTGAATTTCGAGAAGTATTTGTTGTTCTAGTGTATCAACATGTAGAACTACTTTTGGATCTGTAGAATTGGAAGTGAATGAATGGGTAATGTCATCGCCCATTTTAGGTTTTGCGGTTTCCCATAACAAAAGAGGGTTTCCTACTTCACAATACAAAAGTAGATGGTAGAATAGAGAACGAAGTTGAGATGAGGTTGCCCAAGTTGACGCTTCTTCAAATGCTGTTAGCCACTCCTTATCGTCACCGGTTAACCCTAATGCTTCACATGCATCACGAAAAGTAGAGTATGTGTATTCACGAACAGTTCTAATGTCATAGAATGATTTCCATCCTTTTTGATGGAATAGTAAAATTCGTAGATAGAATAACTCCCCAGCTGTTGGATGTACATATGCAAGTCTGCCAATGGTGGTATTTGTTGTGGTACTCCTATGAATCCATCTCTTATCTTTGGTGTCCCAACTATATTTAAAAGGGTAATCATTGTATGTCAAGTCAATTCCTCGACCATCACGTTGATTATTGTGCAACCATTCCGTTAAAGTGGTAACACCAAAACCTGGGTTATCAATTAAGGAGCTTAATTGACTGCTTTCTTTGAAAATAGTAGGTTGCATCCCATCCAAATGGACGGCCAAGACTTGTACAGGTGGATCTCGTTCATGAATGGGGAAATTGAGGATGCGTCATGCTGCTTCGTGTGGACATATGTACCGACCATCAAGAAATGACTTGATTTCATTTACAGTGACAGGTATGGTAGAGGAAGTAGTAGGAGTATTTGCCTCTGATGTTTGAAGAGTGAAACGAACGCGATCAACCCCCTTTGATATGTACTTAAATAAGTACTTAATCATCATATTCCAACCACAATATTCAACATTGATGTGAGCATCAAATCGACTACACAAACGTTTATTGTATGGCACTACATAGCCATTATTAGTTCTAATCCCACTTTGTAGGACATGATATGATCCAACACGTATCTTATAATGCACGTAACCATTTGCATCAAAAGTTGTTAATGGGTTGAATGGTTTTGGAAATTGTTTCTTACATCTATCATCTACCATACAGGGGGCACTAATATTTAATGAACCACAAGGACCATGTAGCATGCATGTAGTAACAGTCCTATATAGTGTTGGTTCAAGTATCGGATCAGGAAGCTCAGCGGTTATGTATTTATCAATATCTGCACCTTCTTGAATTGTATAGGGTGACGTTACCCATAATAATGTATGGCAATGTGGTAAACCCCTTTTTTGGAATTCAATTGTGTAAAGATCTGTGAATAGAATATTTCATAATGATGTTATATATGACATAAAGGAATAGAAGGCAATAAATAGGAAGAATGAAATAAGAGTAGAAAAACTTACATGCACTAAATTCTCCAAAAGTTTTGTCCTCTTTAAGGAAGTTAATGAAAGCATGAACTTTGATTTTAAAGATGCGTGCAATGATATCTGGTCTGTTTTGAATATCACGTTGACCAATAGCATCCATGTATCTTCTATACTCAGGCCATTTAACATTGCAAGTGAAAGTGATGAAATATTGTGGCTTACCATGAACCTTGCATATGGAAAGAGCGTCTTGATAGTGTTTATACATATACCTAGGTCCCCTAACGAAAGTTGCAGGTAGAAATACACGCTTTCCAATGACTTGACTGTCTGAATCACCTCTGGACAAAGCCTCATAAACTCCGCTGATGTACTCTATTCGTAATTGTTGTTGATGGTGTTCAATAAAGTCAAGCCTAGATCGTTCAATGCAAGTATATGCATCTACTAAATACTGGTGGAAAAGACGGTGTGCACGTAAAATAAGAGAGTATGTGTGTCGCTCATTAATTTGATAACTATAATACATATTATTTGTTAACCTTTTGTTAGCCTTAATATGTAGATGCAAGCTAGGAGACCATCCTTCTTCACCATACGGGAACAGTAATGGATACTGCAAAGGCATGTAAGTAGGATGAAGCTTACTGACACGTCGAGGTGACCCAGACTTTGAATAGACGACAATGTCATAGACAGCGTTAGTAACATCATCACCACAAACAATACAACCTAAAGTTCCAGGGGCTGGTGGACCATATCTTCTGTCAGGTACAACATTAAATAAACGTACACCATATGAATCTAAATTCATTGACTGGGCTATTTCTTTCGCAGTCTTAAATGTACGAACATACTCATTATGTGTGCGTAACATATGACTTAAGGATTCTACAACTTCTGCAGACAAAAGTACTTCCCCATCATGAAAAGAACGAAGTCTATTAGCGACCTCATTTTCAGTATCACACATGTACAATTGGAGAAAACGGGGTTGATGAATGTCTTGAGGATAAAAAGAGCCTATCTAATGGTAAATCTGACCACTAACCTTAAACACATATGGTGCACGACCTTTGTTGATTGAGTCGTCTTCGTTTGCACCAAAAGACGTCATAGAGAACATGGAATTATATGCTCTTATGTTACGCATGAAGTGATCATCTTCGTAGAATTGCATAAGCACATCAGGCGGATGAAGAGGGTAAGGAAGAACTACATTACCCGACTTACAACATTTTGTATGTTGTGGATGATTGGCTCTGGATAAATACAATACTCTCTCTTGATACCAAAAATAAGCTCCACAATACTCACATACACAGGTACAATTTCCACAGTCATAATAAAAAGACAACGCTGGTATCTCCACTAAAAGTGAACTCCTGCGTGAACGACGTATTTGACGGGGGACTATTGTATTGGAAGTAGAAGCCATATGTCGCCGTTTTGGAGGCATGTGAAGAAGGCTTTACTGAAATGGAAATCAAAATTTATTGACGCTTACATACTTTATATGTAAATGAAATTGAAAATTAGACTCAAAAAAGGTATTTTTGAAACTAACTACTTTGTTTAGTTACCAATTGTTAGGTATTTATAACACACGTTTAAATAGGCTATTGTATATTGTTTTAATCGATGGAATCTTAGTATATCTACTAGGTAGAGGTGAATATGAAAAGGAGATAAACAAAAATTTTACCATTCTATATTCACAGTTATAGTTGAATGCAAAGGCTCCATGTGTATTTGTTAGAAGTCATCTCACTCGATATTATTAGGTCTTGTGAATAAATTGACAAATAGATAAATTCCTGGTATCATATGGGGCATGTTATCTAGGAAAAGGTTTTTGTTACATAGTTTTGTTTATTCATGACCAAATTTACCTTAGAACCTTATAAATATGTTGATCTATTACTTGATTAGAGCTGTTGTATGGAATTTTCTTAGGTTTGTATCATATTTTTTTATTTCTTTGTGTTATATAGTATAATAACAGGTTATGTTATTTTTTGTAGGTAAATTTTTTCTTCTAGCATTACTAAATATGCTCTAGTGCATTATTTGTTTTGTGAAAATGCAATATTAAATCATAGAATTTGATTAGGGTTTTCTTTAGTTGTTATTAGGTAAAATATTCAAAAAAAAAAAAAAAAAAAAAAAAGGTTAGTGGCATTATTGTCATTGCAGAAATGTATGTTAAATTGTCTAAAATTTAAAAATATTGTAATATAACTTGATTGTTAGCGGTATGTTGTATGTTATAGAAATTATTTTTAGATTGAATGAACTTGGAAGGAGAAGATCCAAAAAATAGCAATATACTATATGTATATTATACATTACAGCTATGTAGTTTTTTTATTGAGTAATGGTTATGCGTACTATAGAATGTAATGAGAAACATACCTTTTACATAAACTTTCTTTCATAAATTTACTAATGTGTATAATTTATGTTTAAGTTAAATAGTTTAAAAGGTATTGAATTTTTTTTATTAGAAAAGGTATTCGGTTAATTTTCTTAGTATTTGCAAATATGGTTAAGGGCATTATTCTCCTTTGGTCAAAATGGATTTTCCGTCTTGTATTTGCAAATTTCGTTAAGGGCTTTATTGTCCTTTGGTCAAAATGTAATATACTTTTTTTTTTTCATATAACTACATGTAAACTCATTATTTTTTATTCATACTTGCTTTTCATAGAATTTCACTTAAAATGTTTACAGTATCCTTTCTCTCTTCTTCAATTGTCATATACAGTGTTCAATCCTATCTCTTTTCTTGCAATTGTCATTTACAATGTTAAGACCTAAAACATTTGAATATTTTTATTTTTGTATTATTTAATTTTTTTGTAATCGGTAGAATCATCATTTATTTTTTTTTGTTTTATTGTCCTAGCCAATTAACATGTGAAACAGTGAATGATACAAATAACTTTGGTGATACTTTAATGCTTGACAATTTGAACCCTTATAAACTTCCAGACGGTGTAAAACTATCAGGAGACATGAAAGATTGTCCCAAGGGCACAAGGGTCATTAGACAATCTTAAGGGGGTTTTATATAGTTACCGTTAATAAACGATTGTAAACAATCCACACTTATAGGACCGTGGTTGACCACAGGTTCAATGAACTTAGAAGGAGAGGAGTCCTTTACTTTTTTGTTTTGAGTAATGGTTATGGTTACTACAAAATCTAATGAGAGTGACCTTTTTATGAGTTTTCGCATAAATTTAATTATATGTATGCTTAATTTTTAGCTAAATAGCTTAAAAGGTTTTCAAAATTTGTGACATAAAAGCTATAAAGGGTAATTTTGTCATTATTACTTTATATGGTTTTTAGAATTTAGTTTTACATTGAATGAACTTGTTAAAGATTACATTGAATGAACTTGTTAATGGTACATTTTGCAGATTTTGTGATAGAAAAGCTATAAAGGGCAATTTTATCATTTTTTTTTGTTTAGCTTTTGTTAAAGGTTTTGCAGATTTTTTGATACAAAAGCTATAAAGGGCAATTTTGTCATTTTTTGTTTAGCTTTTGTTAAAGGTTTTGTAGATTTTTTGATAGAAAAGCTATAAAGGGCAATTTTGTCATTTTTTTTGTTTAGCTTTTGTTAGTTAATAATTAAAAAAAATGAAAAAAAAGGGTAAGTGACATTAGTGTATGGTTTTAGAATTTAGTAGCATTCAATGAACCGGAAGGAGAGGAGCCCTTTACCTTTTTGTTATGAGTAATGGTTACGGTTACTACAAAATCTAATGAGAGTTACCTCTTTATGAGTTTTTCCGATAAATTTAATTACATATATGCTTATTTTTAGGTAAATACTTTTAAAGGTTTTGATAATTTGTGATAGAAAAGCTATCAAGGGTAATTTTGTCATTATGACTTTATATGTTTTCGCTGCTACACTAAGCAAACAAATTTTTAGAAAGGAAGCGGAATATTACGGACGAATCGGTTGAAGGATGTTAATCCCTTGAGATTCTATGATGATGATATTTTGATCAAGGTACTATTGAAGATAGATAAGTTTCTAATGTCCTTTTGGCATTTCATTCTTTTTAGTTTTTTTATTAGAATAATGCTATCATAGGTTTAGTTTGCAATTAGTTGTGACATTTTTTTAAAGAATATGCCATTCTTTTTATTTTTTATTAAGTATAATGCTATTTTTGGCTTAGTTTGCTACAAGTCTTGACATTTTTAAAGTATTATTTCTTTACTCTGTATCATTAGTCTTGATATTTGTTCACTTGATTTAAATTAAATTAATATTACGGATCTCTAGTTGCTAATTTTCAATTTTAATTACCAACTTCTCTTCTATGGTCAGCATGCCTCCAAGATTACAAGATAACTTCATTACCATTTATTTATTTTTCATTTTTTCAAGAAAAAAGGGTTATGGGATCATTTTTCAGGCTAAAAGATTATGGGGATGTTTGGTTCAGATACCACCATATCTTCACAAATTGGGCAATGTATAAACTTACTGTTGTTAATGTTAGATATTAATGTTTGCAGAACTTGAACAGCTGTGTTGAACAATCAACACAATGTCACTTCAAGCCATTACCATCATCATCGCCACCCATGTTCCCTCTTCACTAAAATAGAAAATTGCATTATTTTAACTTGATTGTTAAGATGCATGTATGATTTTTAGAGTTTAGTTTTACATTGAATGAACTTGTTTATGTTTTGTACTTGTTCAACAGGTAAAGAAGACGCGTGTAGTCAAAAGAGAGACGGAAAAAGTGAGTTAAGGGCAGCAAAAGGCGACAATAGAGGGAGAAAAAACCACTTGGCTCATTTATAGCTGATAACCACCATATATTAAATTATCGTTGGATAATTTAGAATCTGGGACAAAAAGAATTCCAAGGGTATTTTGGGAAGTTTTTTATTTTTATTGTTAAAAGGAGGCAGAACATTCGATTAAAAAAGTTACAATTAATATTTCAAATGATTTGAAGTATTTTGCATGAAAATAGAGAATCTAAAAAGTTATTATGTGATTTAGTTGAAATGCAGTTCCAGGGGCATTTTGGGAGATATTTAGAGTTACAGGGCTAATGCATCTTTCCAGGGGTATTTTGGGAAGTTTTTATTTGTATTGTTTACAGGAGGCAGAGGATTGGATTAAAAAACTTACAATTAATATTTCAAATGATTTGAAGAAATTTGCATGAATATAGAGAACCTGGAAAGTTTTTTCTTTGATCTAGTTGGAAAACAGTTCTAGGGGCATTTTGGGAGAATTTAAATTCAAGGGCTTATGCATCCTTCATAAAATGTCACACCCCTAAAATTAACAGGAGGGTTTCACACCTGGATCTGGTTTCTTTCTGTTTAATACTTGATTTATTTTCCTTCTTTACAATAAAAATATACGTTAGAATCATTTGACATTTCTCCTGTGGGTAACTATATTCTTCTAATGGACACAAGAAAACTATAATTATGGACTCAGAAATTTGATCAACGAATATATACATTAGTATTGGACTTACCATTATGTTCATGTTAAATTATTTTTGTTGCTAATACAAATTGACATGAAAATAATAATTTGCACAATCATTCAGCAAAAAAGTTTAAAAAAAACCTAATTGATTAAAAGTGGACAAAAAACTGAAAGAAGAGCAACATAGATAATCAATATCGATTACAAAAAAATTATGACATACTGTAATTCCAATGAAGTTGGATACTTTGGTTTAGGATAAGTTGGGAGGATTCGTTTTATTTAGATTGAATGAACTTGGAAACTATGGCTTAGGATAAGAGTGGGAGGATTTGCTTAAGAAAAGCAAAACCAACGTCAATTATATAGAAATTCTAAACATACCTTTGTAAACAATAACGTAGAACAGGCTAACGTAGAACAGGCTTATGGTGGCAGTAATTGATGGAAGATGTTGTTGGTGACAGAAACTTAATCTTGATTCTTGGACGGGATGTTGATAGTCTCACCCAAAAAGTCGTAGACGTCGCTCAAAAACACAGAATGATTAGAAAGGTGCAAGTAAACCAAAATCCAAGGAAATTGAAAGAACGAAGCACATACCGATATTTTTCACACAGGTTGTTGAAGGTTGGTGGCGGAATTGACGGTAGTTGTTGACATAAATCGATTATTGATTTGTGGATGGAAATCGTGGATAAATCGAATCTTGATTCGTGAATGGAACCAAAATCCTAAGGAAATTGAAATATATCGATCATATACACAGATGGATCATTCGTAATTCAAAGAACCGAGGAATTGAACCAAAACCCTAAATTGAAAGAACGAATGACATACCGAAATTTCTCAGACAGGCTGTTGATGTTGGTAAAGGTAATTGACGGTATTTGTTGATAGGATGTTGATTGTTGGATGGAAACCGTCGAGATATCTAATCTTGATTCCTG